TGAGACAGGGTCTTGCGGTGCAGTTCAGGCTGGCCTTGAGCTCACTTTGTAGCACAGGCTGGTCTCGAACTTGCAATGATCCTCCTGCTTCAGCCTCCCCAGTGCTAGGATTACAGGTGTGCACCACCATGCCCAGCAATTGTGTTCTATCTTAAAAATATTTATGATATTAGGATGTGGTGCACATGCCTTGAAGGATAAAGCCTCTGTTGTGTAAGTAGGACAGAATAAAGGAGGATCATTTCTTGCCCTGGCCTGAATCTCCACATGCATTGAGCCCTAAAGAATAGATCATTCAGCCTTGATGTCAGAAGTTCATGCCCTGTTGGCTGGGCAGGTCCTGCAGGCAATCAGATCTATGAAAATAATGTCTGCCTTCAGGAAGATATGATTTGAAAGTCTGGAATATTGCCCAAAAGGGACACATAAGATTGAGATGTTAAATCTATCTGTCTTTATCCAAAATGGCATTAAAACCCATGTTGGTATCATTTCTATTCAGAAATATGCACACTCTAAAGCATTTGGCTGTAAAGATTGATACTTTAAAATACCTAAAAGAACACGTGTCAGTATTTGACCTGAGAAATACTTGATCTGAAATAATCGTAAGGGAAAACAACTAGAATTAGAAGGATAGAGTGAGACAGAAGAAGGTATTTCCTTTTTCCGGCTAAAAACTACGTGAAGAAATTTGGCAGTAATAGATGATAGGTAGATAGATGATAGACAGATAGATCAATAAATGGATAGATAGATGATAGAGAGTAGACACAGACAGTAAATAGAGATATGATAGATGATAGATAAATGATAGATGATAGGTGATAGATTGACAGATGATAGATAAGTAGCAGACACATAGATAGATGATAGATAGGTAAGTAGATGATAGAGGATAGATAGATAATAGAGATAAAGAGATAGATAAGTACATAATTAGTAAAACACCTACTTGCCTGCTACAGAAATAATGTAATGATCAATTTATTGCAAAAACTGGATGAAGAAAATTCCCTCATAATTCACACCTTAAAATGGAAATTATCTGAGCATGATTAGTATTCTAATAATTAGTATCATTCTTTCTTACCTCTTTTTCTGCTTCTGATGAGTCTGTGGAGTCAAGTTTTGCCCAATCTATGCACTACTTGTAAAGGGTTTTTCAAACTCCCATATTGTCCAGGAGTAAATTCTAAATTACTGTACCTTTCAGGAAAAGTTCTCTGTTCCTTATAACTTCTCCCTAGTCAGTTTTTCAGCTTTTCCTTTTATTCTTTTTCCTGGGATAATAACGCCTCAATGAATGTCTGAGTAAAATAGATTTTGTCCGTGTTTATTTCGGTTTCACTGGACTAGATAAGCAGCAGTGGAGTTCTGAAGACAAGAAGCCTGGCATGGATCCGTATTATCACTAGGATCATTTTCATTCTGTTGTACACTGCTTGGATGAGGAGCTTGGATAAATACGGAATACAAAGGCTTTCCCAGATGATAATCACCTCTAATCTACTGATTTGAATAATGACCAACTTCCCTCCGATGCATTTGGCTTCCCTGTGTTTGATTATTGCCAAAGCTTGTTGGGGTGCCGCTCATGAAGAAGGCTATGATTATTTCTGCAGATGGGCGAGGAGATCTCAAAAATTTTTAAAATATTGAATAGGGCCGGGGATGTCGCTCAGCGACACAAAGCCTTCCTGGCAAGCGTGAGGCCCTGAGGTCGATTCCCATTACTAAAAAAAGTAAAAGTTATTGCAGTCTAGAAAAGAAATGATTCATCCATTGGATCTTCATTTTTAAAAAAAATTTTAAATTTTTAGATAGGTGATAGATGATAGTAGGTGTTTTACTTATTATATATTTATCTATCTCTTTATCTCTATTATCTATCCTTTATCTATCATCTATCTGCTTATCTATCATCTCTCACCTATCTATGTGTCTACTACCTATCTATCATCTATCAATCTATCATCTATCTATCATCTATCTATCAATCTATCAATCATCTATCATCTACCTATCTATCTATAACCTATCATTTATCTATTTACTATCTGTGTCTACTCTCTACCTATCATCTATCTATATGCAGCTATTTTTACACTGTTGCCATATTTCTGATCTACTTCTGTTTTCTTTGTTTTTTATTGCTATAGGTTTATGATACATAATCCAAAGGGATTCTCTGTGAGGAATGTATAGAAAATATATCAAATGTCCATCCTGTTCATTTCCTTTCCCCCTTTAAGGTACTCTCATTAAATTTCCAGTTTATTACTCATTAGCTGTGACAAAGAATCAAGAAATTCAGATTTCAGAGAAATTTTTAAAAAATTATTACTTGAATTTTGTTGAAAAAGATTGATAGATATTATGAGAGGGAAAGGAGCTGCTGAAAAGGAAAGGAGAATTAGGATGGGAGAAGGAGAAAACAAGGAACGGAAATATATATATATATGTGTGTGTGTGTGTATGTTTGTGTGTGTGTGTGTGTGTATACACACACAAGATAGAAAATATAACTGTACTACTAATTTCTATTAGTTCATTAAAAGGAGCAGTTAGTGCTTATATTGTTTGATCAGTTTTGCATGCCTACATCTGATAATCTCAGCAATTACTTTAAAGATAACAATATGCAATATTTTAAACATTGCTAATTTACTACTACCTTGCTTTGAAATTCCATATCATGGTTTTTATTATTTTTCTCCCTTTAAAATAAAAAAATAATAATAATGTGCACCAAAATAAAGAAATGACTCTTCCTACATGAAAAAAAAAAAAATCTAGGGACACTAAACACGAGCCTGGTCTGCAGTGGTACAGAGGGAAAAGAGAAGAATGCAAAGGTAGCACAGAACATAACTGCGGCTACTTTTAGGAGCTATGGTGATGCATGTCCCTAATCCAAGCCTCAGAAGGAAGTTTGTGAGGACCCACTTCAAAAATAGAATCACAGTGCTGGAGATGTAGCTCTGCAGTAGTTTAGGAGTCTCCAGTATCAAACAAAACGAAGCAAAAGAAAAGCAACAAAAATACACAGCTGGACTCTGCAGCTACCGCTGGATTCTGCAGCTACTTTCAAGCAGGCTATAATCAGGTGATACAAATGGTTCATTGAAAGATTCAAACCTCAAATAATTTTGATGCAAACCGTCATGACTCATGTGGTGTAATGCTTAAAGTAAAGATAGAGCAGAAGAAAACATGTTTCTCTCTGACTACTGCATCACTGTTGGGAAAGCTGATTTGCACATCTCCAAATATCTCAAGGCTGGGTGAGCTCTGTGCATTTTCCTACTTCTGAGAGGTCAGAGAGAAGTTAGCCCCTGCTTGTAACAGTGCTGGCTTCTGATACCCTTTGCTCTTTCTCCTGCTTATTCCATGCCAAAAGCAGTTTCTGTAGTTTTTACCAGAGTCTGATAAAGAAAACTCAGTATTTCCAAGCTCCTGATTCTGACTACATTTCTCAAGCTCCTGGATTTCTCGCTTACCTACAGGAAGAGAGAAGGGAAAAAACAAAGAGAGAAAAAGAGAGAAAGAACCAACTGTTCGGTACCTAGAACAACTTACATGTATGCAAGACCTATGCTTAATGAGAAAATATGGTATTTACTTATAATGGAGTACTACTTAACCACAAAGAAGGATGATCTTAAGTCATTTGTAGACACATGGATGCACCTTGTGACTATAATGTTAAGATAAATGAGATGCACCAACTTAAATATCATAGGGTTTCTTTTACACGAGAGAGCCAAAGTATGAATAAATTGAAGAGCAAAATAAAAGGTATGAAAGAGAAAATGGGGAGATAGATCTTCTGCAAACTGAAAGGAGACCAAGAGTTCGAATGAGAGAGGACACAGGGTGAGGGAAAGAGATATAAACAAAGTTAAGATGTGTTATGTACACGTACTACTCAGGAGGGGTTAATCAGTATGTACCACAGACATGGACTAATAAGACCAAAAATTAAAATATGTCTATATCTGTACATTGGATTCCACTATCAACAGGATTTTTCTTTTTCTTATGTGTGTTTTTATCTCTCTGTGGGTGTCTGCTTGCTGATTGATTCATGCACAGGTAGAAAATAGCTGGAGAGAATTTGAGTCTGTGCTGAGCATGTGGAGATTTTTCTTCTCTGTATCCCCCGAATAATACCACTGCCTCCCTGGCATAGTCCCTGTGTTAGGGATTGAATGTCATCTGGGGATGATTTAAATAGTAAGAGAGGACGTGGGTAGGGTCAGCGGGTGTTTCGCACCATGTTATACAAGGAAGTTGAAGACCTGAGGATTTTGCTATCCTTAGGACACTTGGGAACCATTCTATGGTGAATTCTAACAGGTCACCGCATTTCCTTCCACTTTATCCTGAAAGTTAATACAGTTTAAGTTGGACCAAATGATGGCAGAGTGGCAAAATGAAAGTAACATATGTGGATTTCTAAAGAAGTTGCTCTTTATCTGTCGCTGTATCTGACATCTTAGGGTCCTAATTTTAAATTTGGAAAAAGAAAAAAAAAAGGAATATTGTTAAAAGAGAGTTCCAAATTTGGTTAAAAAAAAATTGAGCATTAACTATTCCTTTCAATAAACCAATAGACATCACAGTATAATTATCCCAGCTATCCTTGTATGTACATATATATTTTTCCCTTCCTTCTTTCTTTTCTCCTGTCCCTGCCCTTTGAAGACAATAATAGGCAATATAACAACCACTGTTGAATTCCTATCACCTTACATCTGGTAGTCAGATCAACTTCACTGAAGATAACAATATCTAATATAACAACCATCGTTAATTCCTATCATCTTGTTCTGAAATTCTGTATCCTTTTTATTTTGTGTTTTTTGTTTTTGTTCCTATTTTGTCATTGTTTTTTTTCTCTTTAAGATCATATATATGAAGTGAGAGATTCAGCCTAGGATGCCAGCATATGCCTGCAGTCCCAGCAGTCTTGGAGGCTGAGGCAGGAGGATCTCAAGTTTGAGCTCCGCCTGGGCAACTTGGAGAGATCCTTTCTGAAATGTGAAAAGGTAGGGATGTAGCTCAGTGCTTGAGTGTTTGGTACCACAGCGGTGGGGGGGGGGCGGGGGGCGGTAGAAGAAGGGAGGGTCGAATGCAACTTCCAGGATATTCTCTTGAGGTTTCCAGAGAGACTGCAGCCAGCCCACAGGGAAGAACTTAGTACCTACTTAGTGCACGGCTATGTTCTAAGTCAGCAGGTCCACCTGCTGCGCACCCTGGGGGCACCTTAGTTACCTTCTGAGTAGTGCGATAAGGTCAGCAGGCTCACGCAGGACGCTCCGGCCCCCGACCCGAAGATCGTCACTCTTTTCGGGTCACCGCCGAAGGCTGCCACGTTCTCCTCAATCCACCGCAAGGCTTGGATCTGATCCAGGAGGCCGTAGTTACCTTTGGCTGCCTGGTCCCCGGTGCTTAAAAAACCTGCGAAAGAAAAAACCACAAAAGGACGAGGGGTTGAAGGTTTAGCTCAGTTGTAGGACATTTGCCTCGCGTGTTCGAGGACCTGGGTCCAACCCCACACTGCAAATGAAAACACCCAAACTCAAAACCCAGGGTAAGCTAGCTGGGAGCTCCAAGACGCGGGTAAACATCTCTATTCACAAACACAACTCAGGTCTTACCTGTTCATTCTTTCTCTCTCCCCCCAATAAATGTAAAACAACACTACAGAGAAATTCTTCACTGCAGAGAGAATTATATTATATATATATACCCTGGGGATTATTTCAGTTGGCATTATAACAAAATATTTCCACTGTACTTATGCACATGACTAAAATAGAAGCAAAAAGCCATCTGAAATATTTATAACATAATGCTAGAAAATATTTTATAAATTGCCTAGCATGCGCCAAGTTTGTGAGTTCAATTCTCAGCACCTCAAATTAAAAAGAAAGGGTTCAAAGTATCATTTTTGTGCACAATTTCCTTTGGAGAAAAAAAATGGAGCGTGTTCTTACAAGAAATTTTTCAGGGGAAAAAGAAAGTGTATTTGTGTGTGGGTGAAAAGAATTGTAAAAAGAATGCACATGCATAATGAAATATGTAGGTCAGCTCTTTTCTGTTGAATTGATAAGATCTGAAAATTACTTCTTTGATTGCTTACATTTCAAAGTAAATTATAGGCATCGGGAAATCCCACTTTTCGTTAAATTTAGCTCTGTCCCTCCCTCTCACATCTGTCCCTCCAAACTCCACCTCCCCTTTTTCTGGAGCTGTGGATGGAGCCCAAGACCTGGAACATAATAGACAATTGCCCTAGGCTTGTGTTTTTAAATTTTTGACTATTTCATGCGATCATTGAGATGGGTATAAATGACCAGGAGAGATTATAAGATGCATACAGATTCGATGCTTTGCAGATGTGTTTAGGTTATTATTACGCTTGAGAGAACTGGACAGAGTTGTTTTGGGGGTACCTCTGTTGGATAAGTGCACATCAGGACATTTTAGAATCCAGGTGTAGAACTCACATTCATGTGTTGACCCTAGTTCAAAGGATTATCAGAGGATGGAGACCATACTTTCAGATTACAGAGCAGGGCTTAAGGTAGGAATCTACTAGTACTTTTATTTTCTTCTTGCCTGGCTTTGTCCACCAGATAATCTACTGTGGGGCTATGTGAAGTTAAGAGGGCTTCTGCTATGTCTGCACACACAGAGCAGACTGACACGTACAGGTAGGATGTTGGTGTTGTGGTCATTTTCTTGTCACCGAGAGTTGAGATCTACATGTCCCAAGAGCCTCAGGTGTTCATAGGCAGGACCTTGAAAGACGACCGGATCATGGGGCTCATAGCTGACCTGCTGTTAGGAGGTGAAGTCTGGTTGGGAGAGGTGGATCACTGGGGTGTGGTGATGAGGATTTATCTCCTGCTCCACTCTTCTCTTCATCTCTGTCCGTGTCCTGTCTACCAGGCCATGAGCAACTCCATTCTACTGTGTCTCTGCCATGCTAGTTGCCTGGAGCAAGCCAACTACAGACTGAAACATCTACAAACTGTGAGCTAAAATAAACCCTTTTGCCTTTAGCTTGTGGGTATCTCTCAGCCTTGTATTTTTTAATAGAGAGCAACATTGGGGTTTCCTACTAAAATTGCAGTCCTAAGAGCTCACCCAGAAGCCAACACCACACCCCAGCTTTCTGCCAAAGACCATGAACTGGGTAAGTAGGTGGCGTTCTATAAGCTGACCAACTAAATCTCATCTGTGCACACAGGAAGTCTCTCTTAGAATTTCCTGATGAGGTCACTTTGTCATTTGTTGTTTGAAAAGGAGCACGTATTCTCTCTGGTTCCCAGGTGCTGCCATATTGTGAAAGTGCTTTGACTAGATAAAGCAATTTTCCTGCGCTGTCATGAAGTTGTTTTGTGTCGTGCAATAGGGTCTCCTAGTCAGAGTCTGAATTGTGTGTTTTTTCTAAAGCATGGTGCAGGGTGGTTTATTGGCACAAACTGGAACCAACATTAGGTGCAAATATATTTTGGAAAAGCCTGGAAGGAAGGGAGGGAGGAAGGAAGGAAGGGAGGGAGGAAGGAAGGGAGGGAGGAAGGAAGGAAGGAAGTAAGGAAGGGAGGGAGGAAGGAAGAAAGGAAGGTAGGGAGGAAGGAAGGAAGGAAGGAAAGAAGGAAGGAAGGAAATGAGAAATGTAAAAAAGAAGGAAGTGAGGAATGAGGGAAGAAACAAAGGCAAAAGAGGGAGAAAGGAGGAAATAAAATGCGAAATAAGAGTGTTTAAGAGATTTAATATTTTCACATGCTTATTTGAGTGTCTCCAAAAGAGACAACTATATATTTTTTTCCCTTTCTGCACGATTGAATTTTCCCAAGTCTCATGTTTTTGACCCAATGAGTGTTTCCTAAATCGCTGAGCATAGTGGCACACATCTGTGGTTCCAGCACTGTGGGAGGCTGAGTCAGGAGTATTCCAAGTTCACGCCCAAACTGCACAACTTAGGGACAAAGAAAGATCCTGCCTCCAAAATAAAATAAAAAATAAAAAATAAAAAATGGCTAGGATGCAATTTAGTGCAAACATTCTAAATTCATTCCTCAGAACGTTATTTATTTATTTATTTATTCATACCAGTAACTGAACTCAGGACCTTGCACTTACCAGGCAGGCACTTGTGCCACTGAGCTATGTCTCCGGACTCTGATAACTTTGAAAAACAGTTTAAGTCACAATCACCTCTAAGTGAAATTTATAAGATAAACCCGCTTTGAGCTCCAATACAGCATACATCAAAACAACCACTTTGGAAGCATATTTGGCCACCCAAACTAGGTATTCCAAGACGGTACAGGGCACCAGCTTCAAAAGTCTAAAACCAGTGCCAGGGTTACAGCTCAGTGGCTCAAGTACATGCCTGGTGAGTGCAAGATCCTGAGTTCAAGTCTTACTACCAAAAGAAAAAGAAAATCGAAAACCAAAAAAGTCACAGACTGCAAAGTTAATAAGCTTCCCTTTCAACTGCTTCTTGAGCACCAATGAGTCAAAGACAGATCACAAATGAATGCACTGGTGCAGAAGAAAGTGCCAGGGTGGCTTTTTGTTCACAAAATACAATAAATGTTCCAAACTCCGTGCTTGATTTCCTACCTTCATTACTTATGTTGCAGGTGCAAAATGCTGCATTGTAGACCAAGCCCATGAGTCCACCTCTGTTCCTTACTCATAGTAAATGCATGCTGTGATTTCTAGGAATAGGCAGGACTCACCCACCGCAAGCCCTGTTAGCTTAGAAATTACTAATGACTGCTTCACGCCAAAAATATTCTGCACCACCACCTGCACTTGCCACTAAATCTTGTGCTTATTTGCTCAGAACATAAATCCTTCTTTGCTAAGGAAAAAAATGCCCTCATGCTAAGTATGAATGTGCATGATCATGCCAGTGTAAGTGTCCTATAATTGCCCGAGGGCAGTGCTGTGTTTCCCCATGAAAGAAAAAAGAAGGGGTTTATGCCCAAGGGTCTGGTAACTTTCTGGCCAAGTGAATCTGTGTTGAATACATCCTTTCTTCACTCTCCTTTTCTTTTCTCTAAGCTCTTGGAAGAAGAAGTTTCCTTGGGTGCTGCAAACTGGAGGAATATTTGTGATCCAGGGTACACCCTTTGTCTTCACAGTATGAGCATTTTTCCCAGCTGCTAGTAAAACTGGATGGCTCCAGCGTTCAAGCTGCAGGTGAATGAATATCTCCCCCCTTGTAAAATCGTAATTCTCCTCACACATACCTATGGGGTGTTAATGGTTGTGATGTTAATTCCTTCCAAAGATCCTAAGCATTTGTTGGCTAAGGAATCACTGCTTGCTCCTTTGAGTTTGGAAAAAAGAAAAAAAACAAAACAAAACATGAATGTGGTGTTGTGGGAATCTGGTGTCTCCCTAGTGCCTGCTATAGAATCTGCATTAATTGCATTATTCAAGATTTTATATTTTCCGCTTGGCTTTCTTTGGCAAGGTTGGGATCGAATCGAACCCAAGTCTGTGTGAACGCTAGGCTAAGGCTCTTCCTCTGAGCTACACCAAAGCTTCCCCTCTTTTTCCTTTCTGTTTTAAATGTAAACTATCACCTATGTAGAGGTCCTGTCTCCAGGTAGAGAAGGAAATTTAGCAATTTTATTTTCCTTGTGGTGGTTAGCTTCTTTCATATTCTGAGCTGTAGACCAGAGGTGCTTTGTGTATACCAGACTTAAAATTCAGGAAAGCTTACTAACATGGAGAGAAGCAGTTGGGATCAAAGGAAAGAATAACTTGTTTTCCAAAGACACGTAACTATGACATTTATCTATCAAGCAATTGTCAGTACTATACCGACCACAGGTGGGATATACTACAGGAAAGCCAGAATGCAGGTGAAACAAAGAAAAGAATTTTCCTGGCAAAGCCATCTTTTATCTTAAATATTCCAATAATACATTTTTTTTTTTTCTACTGAGATGAGGTTAGCAAACGCCAGGCACCTTGCAGGTTTATATTCTTTAGTTTTCCCTTTTGGGTGGAGAAAGCAAGATGATAGTAGTCTGTATATTTGGAAACAGAGGCGTTTATGCTACCACAATGAATGTTGACAGACATCCTCACAAGCCTATTACCTGCAGGATATAAATTGCTCGAGCTCTGATCATCAGAGAAATGCACATTAACAAAACAAATGAAGCAAAACAAAAGCACTGCCATTCCAGCTTACTATAAAAAGAATGACTGTCATCTAGCCATCAAATCATAACAAATGCCTGGGGCACTAGGGCCCAAATGGAACACTCTTTATTGTTGGTGGGAATATAATCTGGTACAAGCACATAAAAAAGTCAGGGTGGAGATTCCTCAAACAACTGAAAATAGAAATTCTGTTTGTCTCAGCTATTCCCCTTCTGGGTATCTTCCCCAAAGAGTTAAAGACATCATATTACAGTGAT